TTGGTTACTCGGCAAAAATTATTGGAACTGGGTTGGGATGTTTTGTCACACCCACCATATAGCCCTGATCTTGCGCCTTCGGATTACCATTTGTTTCGTTCCATGCAAAACTCTTTAAATGGTAAAATATTTAACAACGCGGATGATGTCGGATCACACCTAATTCAGTTTTTTAATAGCAAAGACCAGACATTTTACGAACGGGGAATTTTGACTCTGTCAGAACGATGGAAAAAGGTCATCGACAAGAACGGCCAATATCTAGTTGAATAAAGTTATATTTTTAAACAAAAATTCCGAATTTGCCTTCTTATTTGAAATCGGCAATGACTTAGTTGCCAACCTAATAGTTAGAGTCTCTTCTCAGAAATTATCAGAATGCATTACAAAAATCTGCCGAGTCTCATTTTAACTTCTCTTCAATCGATTTCCTCTCGTAGGCACTCTTGAAGCGCCTGCCGAACGTTGTACAACCGAAATCGAACACCAATCAATTGCCGATTTCTTTACAATTTTCAAACCCTCTAAAGATGCTTCATCAGTTATTGACAATCAATCATTAAATATCCCCTCCATTGAAGAGATTGAGAATGAACGCCTAGAAGCCATGCTAAAACAGGTTAAGGATCAATTGATGCTCAAATCCGCCACAAAGGAAGAAGTTGCATTGAGGCGTCAACAGTGGAGAGAACTTGGAGTTAAACTTCAGGGTGTGAAGCACTGGGAGGGCTTCAATCAAGTTTTCATGGTCTCCTCTGCAACTGGAGAAGGAATTGATAATCTCAGGGTGAGTCCTCAAATGCTTATACTGATTCAGTAATTGACTGTTTTGTTAGCACAAAGGAAACTAGTCACATCTCCAACTGCTTAAATGGCATATTTTGTAATGTTTGTCTCCCTGAATTTTTCATTTTAGAAATATCTTTTATCGCGAGCTAAACCTGGACAGTGGCTTCTCTCCCCAGCTCTCATAACTGACGTCGAACCTACAGAGATCATCCGCATGTGCGTGTGGGCTCACTGTCTAGAAAAACTGCCCCAGGAGATCCCCTATGGTGTCCTAGTTACAGTGGATGAATGCGAGCATGTTAACATAGGTCAAGGCGACGATCGTGTCTACGTGCATGTCAGACTCCGCTGTCCCAACGAGCGTTCAATTGTGAGTCTACTCATTTTTATTCAGTACTATGTATTTTATGAAATATTTATGTAACCAATGCCATTCTCCATTTTTAGAAAAATGTTATCGGCCCTCAGGGCAAACATATCAGAGAAATAGCCGGAGCCGTGAAAAATGAATTGGGTACCTTGTTTAAAGCAACAACTGTGGTAAAGCTTACTGCAGAAGCGATAAAGCCTAACCGTGGGTCGATTAAGCGATTACGCGCGGCCAAAGACTTCTCTGAAGTCTATCCGAACTTTGACAACACTTCTCAACCACAGCGTGGAATTGAGACTGTTGAATTGTAGATACTTTGTAGAGTAATTTCTAAATAAATCAACTAAAATTTACAACTTTTATATTTTAATATTTTCGGGTCGGTTGTAGGTCGAGTAGTCATTGAAATGTAAATGAAATGAAATGAAATGTAAACCCGATTATTTGTTAGGTTAGACTGGGTAAGAGTTAATGAGAAATCAGGGCTCCATTTAAAAGGGTTATAATCGTGGATTATGTCGGAAAAAATCCTAAATTAACACCAAAGTGTGCTTGTTCTCCTTTCTGGTTGAGTGCATTTGTGGTAGCTGCCAGTTATTTTACAGAACAGCTGAGTTGTAACAAAAGTTCACCTAGGTACCGAAATTGTAATTCTCCGCTTGAGTTAGTTTAACGCCTCGGAATTGTGGTAATGGGTGTCTTGACAGAATCCAATCCTTAAAATTGCATAATTTGAGAACCAAGGCAATGTGTTGAAGATTAGAATTAGTCTGTCCAACGTGTGTGACAAAAAAACGGATCTTCAACTGCAGTAGATAAAATAGCTTTGATGTTTCAGTTTGGGGAAGAAATATCACTCTGCCATGCCATCAACAAGCCACCTAGCTACATCAACTATGGAAAGTTGCGCAGTCTGAGCAAAAATAGTCGGTGTAAACCTTTGAGAAATTTATTTATATCAAATGGCAGGCGTCTTGATGGTTATCATTAGCCCTTTAGTTCACTTCAGGCTTCACAAAGGGGAAGGAACATCAAAGAGAAAACAGTCGAGAGGGGGGAACAGAAGAGTGTTTCAAAGATGTAAGAGACAAACATAAAGGTTGAAAAAGGTGAGGTGAGTACTGTGGAAATAGTCGAATATGGCATAGAGTATGGTGATGGTAGTTAGAAGTGAGAAGTCAACTGCCAGTTAATAGACTTTTTTGCCGTATGAGTATACGTTGCCCAGGGTGCACCACGTGGAGGTAAGTCTATCGTACACCCCTCTTTGAGAAATACGATGTGTTAGTTTGCATTGAGAGATGTGAATGCTACCTATCGTACCTACTTTCAACTGTCTATACTTATAGAAATGGTTGATTGGACATGTGCTTCGCGGTTATTGCATAAATAAGCCCGTGTAATCCCCCAAGAATCTAACTGTTTTCAGACAACTTCAGTAAGCCTCTAGAAGCGTCCTCGAGTGTGTAAATTTTCCTACACTTGAAGCAAACCTACTCCAAAGAAGAAATTAAGGTATAAGAGGAGAAGAGTTTATTGAACACAGCAACGCTACACTGCAAGAACCTTGATAGCCGATTGTCTTGAAGTCCACTATATGCACGCCTATGATTGCTCGATACGCAATCGGTTGCATTTTCCCGAATTACCGATAAGGAGACAGACATTTTTATTGAAATTAAAGTTCAAATAAATATTAATTAATTGAAATGAATATAAGCGTTTTGCTAGTTATTATTAGCCTTTAGCTCACTTCGGGCTTCACAGAGGGGAGGAACATCAAAGTGTGAAAAATTCGAGAGGATGAACAGAAGAGTGATTCACGGGTGTAAAAGAGACAGACAGATACAAAGGCAGAGAAAAAGCAAAATGAGTACTGTGGAAGGGGTCAAGTATGACATACAGTGGGGTCATGGTAGTTTGAAGTGAGAAATCAACTGCCGGGTAATAGGCTTTTTTTGCCGTATGAGTATACGCTGCCCAGGGTGCACCACGTGGAGATAATTCTATCGTGCACCCTCTGTGTTGATAACGTCGTA